GTGAATATGACTGAAAATTTTATTTTTTTCTGAAAAGGTGGTGTCTATTTACTTGTGACCACGCTGTGTATATTAGCTCAGGAGTTTCTGTTGAAAAGTTTATTTATGAAATTATGCCTACAAGTTAATATGGCTGTAACTTACGTTCAAGGAAGAAAATAAATTAATTCGTTATCATTACGTGGAAAGAACTCGGCATTATTTTTAACAAATAATAAAAAACGCCCAATGATAGAACAAATTACAACAACATTTTTAGTCTATCAAGCGAGAACAAGATTACCAATACCATATCAGAGGAAGTTAAACTGATTACTTCATTTGACGTCTCAGAATATTTCTTTCAATACAACTCCTTACAAACAAACTCCAAATCATCAAGTACACCCATTAATTTTTATAAAACCGTGTCAGAGTCTTTCAGGAGAAAACTATCTCCAAAATATCATATTAAATTTAAGGCTATATCTAAATTAACGACTAATATAATTACGATAAGAAACGACAGGGCCAAATACCAATTAATAAGGATTCATAGTGATAAACCATTTATCCATTCCGAGAAATTTTAAAAAATGATAAAAGAAAATCTTAAAGTATATTGCTATTCTACTTGAAAAAGGCCCGGCATGGCCAGGTGGTTAGGGCGCTCGACTCGCAATCTGCGAGTCGCGGGTTCAAATCCCCGTCACACCAAACATGCTCGCTCTTTCAGCCGTGGTAAAAGAGTAACCCAAGAGTTGGCGGTGGTGGTGATGACTAGCTGCCTTCCCTCTAGTCTTACACTGCTAAATTAGGGACGGCTAGCGCAGATAGCCATCGTGTAGCTTTGCGCGAAATACAAAAACAAACAAACAATACTTGAAAAAAGTTGTTCTATGAAAATAATTGCATGCAGAAGGAAAGGTTTGTTTGTTTGTAGTTAAGCACAAAGCTACACAATGGGTTATCTGTACTTTGCCCAACACAGGTATCGAAACCCGGTTTCTAGCGCAGACACTAGGGGCAGAGGGAAACTGCTGTCAGTGTTAGCCAGGCAGCTATCTTTTTTTTTTAAAGAATTATATTCAGCAGAAGCACAATAAACACCAAATAATAAATGATTTAATAGTATTGTATTCACTATTATTTTCTTATTCTGCTTCCTCTTCTTTATTTTCACAACTTCTTTTCATTTCTAAAAAAAGAAGCTATAATATTGTAAAATAACATTGATTTACCCTAGGAGTAACAAGATAGGTATGTGTAATAACAGGAGATTTATCAAGATCTCTACTGTGAAATAATTCTGTATTCTTTGCCTAGCTGAGCTTGTGAGAAATAAAGAGAGGCTAGACACAAATGTACAGTCACAATAAACAATATTTGTTAACACAGTAAAAGTAAACTTTACTTGTCAGAATGGACAGTCGCATCTCCTTAAAAATTAGCTCTGTGGTTGTTTCTCTCTCTCTTGAGTTTTTCCAAGCTAATTTGGTGTTAAATACACATGACTGTTTCAGTTTATGTTTGATGAGAGTGTTATGATTTAGATAGTTTATATAACACGAATGTTAAATTTAGTTATTTTTAAAAGTGATAGTTTATTGCAGATTTGTTAACTGTTTGCGAATCATACATTGAGTAGTTCAATAGTTATGAATTTGTGATTGTTATATTATTGCATCATGTTATTAGAACCTTCTGAGTTTTTCTCATTGTTTTAATTGAGTATTATTGCATTTTTAATAACATATAAATATAAATAACATATAACATATATAATCAACCAATACACACTAAGAGAAAAGACAATTCCTTCACTGCATGTGGAGAAGTGAAATACACAATTAAGTGTACTGAATATTGAAGATAATATATTAAGGATCATGTGGTCACTCTCGTCACTCAGCTATATCAGGTGAGGTATTCTATTAAACTTGTATGAGAAGCACTCAGTAACAGGTTGACCAGCTAAGTCCATATGTTACTGACAAACCTCTAATTCACTCAAGCGACCTGGCATCCGAGGAAGAGACTGACGAGTTAAAGAAGGACAAGAACTCTGTTTTATCTCACTCTGATTCCGATGATATGGAGAATAGAGCTGAAGGTACTTTTTTAATAAGCTAGGACTGCTGGAGAGAATAGATGTAAAACCTAATACTCCAACAGTTTGAATAAATGAAAATGGTAACTAAAGGCTCGAAAACTCAGTTGAAAGATAAGTGCGACCTTGATTTTTGAAATATTGAGCAAAATTTCAATGAGAAAATTCTGATGGATGTCGAGCGATAGCTGTTCAATTATTATAAGCTAGAATGGCTGGAATGATTAGATCTAGTACCTAGTACATCAATAGCTAGATGTTTAAAAACTCAGCTGTAAGGATGTTGTGACTCTTGCTTTCTGAGACCCCTACAGCAGATATCCCACAATGTTTGCAAGAATACGTCAAATAGTTAACTTTACATTAGTTGACATCAACAAGTTCAACAGTAAGGAAAGGCTGTCATATGGTAGAAGAGGGGCTATGATAAAACAGTGAAAGAATGGATATGAAGACCGGGTATGCCTTTGATATGTGCCAGTACTACAGAAGCAGCTTGATTCTGGTTGGACAAGACCTTATCTCGTGATCGAATGATTTGGTTCATTGATGTAGGAGTTGAAGCAGTCAAGAGACATGTAACATTACGCAGTTGCAATTTCAAGCATTAGAAGGTGTGCTGTACCATCACTATCAACCACCAGGCCATGCAGCTCCAAGGCAAAGGATTCTTCAGACTTTACATAACACAAAGATTGAAGGGTACCACCAAGGTGTTACCCACACTGCTGCTAACATTCTATAGTGGTTCTCCTGACCACATTTAAGTTGTGATGCTTATGTGTTACCTGAAGGTAGAAACGACCAACACAAGATAAACTGCAGCAGAGAACTGTTTTTTCTCATTTATGCAGAATAGCTCTGGATATCATTGGTCTACTCATGGAGATGACACACGGTTATCTGTATATATTTATAGCTATTACAATTCACAAAGAAGGTAAAACTTATTCATTGGTCGATACATCAACACAGTCCATAGCTGATATGTTTCCAGAGCACTGATAGTATGGTTTGGAGCACCAAAAGAGATCCACAGTTATCAGGGGTGATTTCAACAGCCACTTGTTTTCTGAGTTGTGTAACATTTTTGAATGTGGTGGATACACACACATTGCCTTATCACCCCCAGCCTGACGCTGTAGTGGAATGGGTAACACAGGCTTTCAAGTATATACTTGCCAAGTTTTATAATCCCAATCAAATCCCTCACCATATGACATGAGAACATACAGAGTAACTGGGCAGAGATCAACAGAATCACAATACATGCTCATGTTCAGTTGGGAAATCCTGCTCCCTGTAGACATGATGTATGGTCCTCATACAAATGCCACAGGTTATATGTATCTATGTCATGTTTCTCATTCTGAGTTGGCATCCATCCGCTAGTGGAATCATCTACTGTATGGTTTTAAGTTTTCATGGTAGAAATTGTTCCAGTTCCTACAAAGTATCAATAAATGTATAGGTTCTCACTGTGTGGTAAGACAGTATGTTGGCATTTCCATTTTGTGGGCCTGGACGATGATGTAACGCAAAGTCATACTCATCCAATGCTTTTATCCAGCACACAAAGGTTCCTTAGGGGTTTTTAAAGTTTATAAACAATTTCAGTAATGCATGGTACACTCTAGTAATGAACTTTATACCATTAAAATAGGGCTAGCAGTGTTTCATGACTATAAATGCTAGCAGTTATTTCTTCATCTTATAGTATAATGAGTACCTGACTAGAATACATGATTGCACATTCTACTCCACCCTGCAGTTGTAGCAACACTACTCCAATATCACTATCACTGGCATAGGTATCCAAAAATAATTCACAGTTTGGTCACAGTGTATGTCAAGATTCAAGCTGGCATATTAAAGCATGCTTCAGGGACTGTAATGTGTGTTCACACTCTTCACTCCATTTGAAGTGCCTTTCTACCTTAGTGCGAGCAAATAATGACGTGCTTTTGGAGAAGTTGGCCACAAATCATCAGTAGTATGATACAAGACCAAGAAAATTGTAGACTTCTCATTGGTTACGATTCGAGACCTATCTCACTCTTTTTCTATCTTGGCAAACATTTTCCTGTTTCAGTTTCAAGCCATCTTTCTTTTTATCTGCAGACTAAAACGTGTGGTCAAATACTAAGGCATCATCAATATAAACCAAGCATTTCTCCCATTGTAGCCCCTTCGTTATAAGCTCCATTAGCCTCTCACAAGTATTGGGCACATTATGCAGGCCAAATTTCATTATATAAGATCATGAAAAGCATCTCTCCTGTTAAAGCAGTCTTAGTTTTGCCTTTAGTCTTCCAGTTCGACTTGCCAGTTTTTGGATGCCAGATCTCTAGTGCTGAACTAATGGGAGAAGACTTCTCTTAGACATGGCAACTCTCTCTCTCGAGCTACTGTCTCTCTTACCAATTCTTCTTCTTGGTCACAAGTCCCTCTACTTGTAAAAAATTGATATTTCCTCGAGAAAGGACCTTAATATACAATAGTTCAAGTAAAGAGTAACACAGACATAAGACAAAACACAAAAAAATCTACAATAAGATATCTCGGTCACAGTACCAAAGTGTTCTCCTTACTATCTACACTGTGATGTTTTTGGAAGCTTATTTGTTTGTTTTGAATTTCGCGCAAAGCTACACGAGGGCTATCTGCGCTAGCCGTCCCTAATTTAGCAGTGGGAAAGCAGCTAGTCATCATCACCCACCGCCAACTCTTGGGCTACTCTTTACCAACGAATAGTGGGATTGATCGTAACATTATAATGCCGCCATGGCTGAAAGGGCGAGCATATTTGGTGTGACGGGGATTTGAACCCGCGACCCTCAGATTGCGAGTCGAGCACCCTAACCATCTGGCCATGCCGGGCCAGTTTTTGGAAGCATTGATTTTCCTTAAGAGTGGCAATAGGTCTGCAGAATAACAGGAGATTTGTCAAGATGTTTACTACAAAATAATGATGTACTTCCTGACTAACTGAGCTCAAAAGAAATCGAGAAAGACTGAACACACATGTGCAATCACAATAAACAATATTTATGAACACAAACACAGTGAAAGTGTACTTTACTTGCCACATCAGACTATTGTCTTTACTGGAGAGCTAGCTATGAAGCTGTTTCTCTCGTTTGAGTTGTTCCAAACTTACACAGTTGAGATTTTGTACCAGGCTGAATAAAAATCAAATTACTTACTTAAATTAGAAAGGATGATTTACCCAGCATGACTAGTACTTCCCACATGACTGATTATTCCAACTGAAACATAAGAGAGGTCATAACCTCAAAATATCACCTGACTACATATGGACCATTCATCTGTCTTTTTCACGGGAGGATAAAAGGTGTTATATTAAGTGAATGGCACAGAACAACAGGCAGCTAGAATGACAGCAGCTTATGACATGCTTGACCAATGTTCTATATGGAAATTGTAGTTACACCTGCACAAATGATAAATGTAGGAAAAATTCTATATTAATCTAGGAGGTAGAATACACAAAGACCCCAGTAGTTCCATCCTAAGTATAAACGCTAATGTTTATACAGATAAACGAAAGGAAGATGAAAAGCGACGAATGAAACTAAAAGGTATTACAAATGTATATTCACTCAAAACAGCAAATGTGACTGGAATATGACGTTAACTAAGGAATCCTATTCGGAGTAAGAAAATGTGGTTACAGTACTAAACAATTTCTACCAGTGTTTGTTTCTAAAATATTGATAATAGCAAAAAAAG